AAGAATCTAGGAAAATGCCTAGTGTCAACATGAGGGGAGTACAGGGATGGCAGTGGACTACCAGATAACCTAGGAAAGAAACTGTGGAGGAAAAGAGAAAGTGGACCACATGGGCACCTCTATCCTAGAGAGGATGTAGAGGTGTATATACATATAATGTAATTATGCTTTGTTTTTAGTGAGAATTTATTTTTCTTCTCTTTCCTTCCTTTGTTTTCCCTTTCATTTCCTTCCCTTTCCTTTCTTGAAACTTGTGAGTTTTCTGTTAATACATCAATGCAGCATCAACAAATGAAGTCAAATTTTGCACTGACATTGTAAGATACTTAACTAACCACTTCAGAGTTTGTGTGACGTGGGTCCAATGGCTTATTAGTGTGAACAAATTCACGAAATTAAACAAGAGCCTGATGACAACTGCATGGTTAGAGGGATTGGGTCTGGGCCACAGGGCACACTCCTATTAATTTTTTATTATCAACTAATAATAATTGTGTCTCTACAATAATTGTCTCAATAACTGACATGTAGACAAGAAAAGAAATGCTGAGGTATTATGTACTTCATTTCAGGTTGTACTAGTGGTAGATCTTGGGCTCTTGCTACCAAGATTTGAGTCTTTTTCTTAGACTATTTTCAAATGCCTTTTATCTCCATTATTTTAAAGGAAACTAAAATGGAGAAGTGTAACACACAAAAAAAAACAGACAAAATGGGGCTACTCTGAGTGAGGCAGCATTGGAAGAATGTACCCAGGGCTCTTTGTCTGTCCCCTTCACCCTCTCCTTCTTGGTTTCCAGAGCCAGTCTCTCAGGTGACCCTTCATAGAACCTTCCCTCAGCTTCTCTTCTTCTCAGAAGGCAGAGTTTGCAGCAAAAGCTCCCATGTAGTAGCTAACTTTTGGATAAGCAGTTTACTTTTGGACTAGGAAGAGCATAGTTCCATAGCTGGCCATAATTGTGAGCAACAGGGTTCCTCCTAGGACCATCTAGGGGAATAATACAGAATAAGTTTCAGAAAAATGTCCTCCTGAGAAATAGCAACTTGGGAATGTTTACCTACTGCCTCCTGCCTCCTTTGGTCAAGGAATCCCCCTGGGAGTGGTAGCCCCACTCACATTTCCAGTTTTGCCCCTGTAGGAGTGCAGAGTTGGTTCATGCAGGCGTTGCACATGGCAGCCTGCATGGGAGGAGACCCACCCGGGACAGAAGGTGAGAGGTGCATGGTGCCAATGAGGAGAGGGGCTCTCAGGCCCAACTTGAGCAAATCTGATGACTCTGGCAATGTTGCTGGAGCCAATGGCAGTTTGAGAGACAGAAGGAGGGGTGCAAGCACTGAATACAAACCCTAGTTTAGGCTTTCCGAAGCCTGGTTCACGGTGGCCCACTGCATACATTAGAACCACCTGGCATGTTCCTAAACTATAAACTCCTGGGTTATGCCCAGAACTGCTGAATTGGATTCATCTCAGCTGTGATTCTGAACTCTTCATGTTATGTGAACATCATTAGATGAGTTATGCACAGTAAAGTTCAAGAACCGCTATTGAACATTTGGATTTGGATTCAGCTGTGACCAGTTTTTGCTGGCTTAAACATCCTGACTCAGGGATGCCTCTTCTATAAACGGCTAATACTGTTTCTTATCAGGAGAAGCAGTTGCTAATATCAAGTACTGTGAAGCAGGAAGGCGGTGTGACAATTATTGTGTACATAGAGATACACATCCCACACGCTTGTGTTCTCCTCGGGGATCTTCTGTATTCCCCTTCCTCACACCTGCTTCAACTTCGAGCCTTTCGGGTTTTATTGAAATACTCTTGACATTTATGCTTGGACACTTGAAAAAAAGTTTTTTCTCTTTACACTATTAAGCCTTCTGTTGATTGATTTTGGCCTTTGTACTTTCTCCAAATCTATTCTTTTCCTTAGCTTTCTCACTCTTCAGGGGATTTCAAGTCCAAATATTGACCAAATAATTCTCTGGGCTCTAATTTATAAAATATTTCCTCTTGGGTCAGGAAAATAAGAGGTTTTATTGCAGTTCAGTTCTAAAAGTAGTAGACAGAGCTTGGGTGTTTAAACAGGGCCTGAGGCAAGGTTTTGCCAACCTTTCAGAGGCTGCATAACAAATATTTTTTATTTGCTCTGTGAGGTGTTGGAGTTAGCTACAGCCTCCTGAAGGTCATCTCTGAGCCTTCACTCCCTGCTACCCACACCAACTTTTATGAGTCCCCTATGAAAATAAAATCACCCTAGGAGGGATCATACTAAGCTATAATCAGTTAATACCTTGCTTTTCAATTAACACTCTAGCAGGGATTATTTGAAAGTCAGCTGAGAATAGGAACAGAGGCAGGATGGCACTTGGAAAGCCTATTTAGAATAAGAAGAAAGAAGGAAAAAGGAAGGAAATCTTTACAGTTTTGTTTTAAACTGGTAGGTGGTCAGGGCACTTCAAATCACTTGGGTTATCTCAGTTTTCCAACCTGTGGTTTAAAGGCACATGACTGTGAAAACTTGGCTTTTAAGAAGAATCAGGGTGTTGAAGAAACAAGGAAATCCAGCTGATCATCCACTTTCTCCCTGTTGTTACATAACGATATTATGTCCCTACCAGTGTATGACTACTGTGTGTGTGTGTGTGTGTGTGTACATATATATCGAGAGAGAGAAAAGGAAGAAAGAGCTAGGTCTTAAAAATCCCCATGCCATCCTTTATTTGCTTTGTGTTCTTTGTGTTTATTGCCAACATAACTTAAAGGTAAGGGGTGCTCAAGCCAACAACATTGATGTGATGGTTGCTACTCTAGTGAGCTGCTGGGACAGACCTCATGAGATAAATTGTACTCATGAGATAAATTTGTGCTCGGATTAGGATTTTGAGCCTAGTCCTGACACAAAAAGAGCAGCATCTCCTCTCCAAAAGGACAAAAGTAGGTTGGTTGCTCTAATTTCAGGTAATTCCTTGTGTGGTATTATACAATCCACTTCACCACGTCTGCCTGAATAATGATTTTTATTTACTTATTTGTTTATGTTTTAATACAATGGTACAAAAGAATATATGTGATATTTGTATGTATGCATATATATGTGTGTGTGTGTGTGTGTGTGTGTGTGTGTGTGTGTATGTATATATATGTATATGTAAGTCAGGGGTCCTTGACCCCCAGGCCATGGATAGGTACTGGTACCTGTACCGGTTGCTGTTAGAAACTGGTCTGCATAGCAGGAGGTGAGCAGTGGGTGAGTGGAGCTTCATCTGTATTTATAGCCACTTCCCATTGCTTGAATGAGCACCTGAGCTCAGCCTCCTGTTAGATCAGCAGCAGCATCAGATTCTCATAGGGGCGTTATCCCTACTGTAAACTGCACATTCGAGGGATCTAGGTTGTGTACTCCTTAAGAGAATCTAATGCCTGATGATCTGTCCCTATCTCCCATCACCCTCAGATGAGACTGTGTAGTTAAAAAAAACAACAGCAAGCTCAGGACTCCCACTGATTCTGCATTATGCGGAATTGTATGATTATTTCATTAAGCGTTACAATGTAAAAATAGAAATAAAGTACACAATAAATGTATTAATAACACTCTTGAATGTTCACGAAATTGTCCCAAATATCCCTGGTCTGTGGAAAACTTGTCTTCCATGAAACCTTCCCCTGGTGCCAAAACCATTGAGAACTGATGATGTCAGTTATAAAGTGTGAAAATGTAACCGGCAACTGTGAACCCATCATCCAATCAAATTATTCAAACATAGTCGCAATGCTTCCCTGTATCTATCTCCTGCTTCCATACTGAAATACTCCCCTCATTTTGCACAAACGGTAACCAGTACTTTGATTTTTGTGTAATTATTGCCTATTCTACTTTTATACTCTTGTCGTTTTCTTGTTGGTAGGTCTAAATAACAGATTTTTTCAGTTGTGCTTTTTTTTAAGCATTTCATTAAACATATCACTTGGGATATCTTCTTACGAGATTTGTTGTTTTTCACTTTGCATCATGGTTGTCTGTAGCTATAGTTCAACCATGTATATTCCATGGAATAGCTATGTCACAATTGACTTCTCTGTTCTCTTGTTAAAGGAGAATTACGGCTTCCAGTTGGTTGTTCCTGTGATGAATATATCCTATACATCCCCTGGTGCACATACATGCAAGTTTCACTAACACATATGCATAGCGCAGAGTTTCTTGACCTCAGCAGTACTAACGTGTGGGACCAGATAAATCTTCCTTGTGTAAGACTGTCCTATGCATCATAGGGTGTTTAGCAGCATCCCTGGCCTCTACCCACTAGATGTCAGTAGTGTCTCCAAGTTGTACAACCAAAAATGTCTCCTGACATTGCCAAAGATACTCTAGGGGTCAAAATAACTTACCTAGAAATACAACTGCTGGGTAGATACAATATATACATATTCACTTTCACAAGAGAAAGCCCAGTTGTTTTCCAAAGTCATTGTAGCAATTTAGTGCCCACCGGCTTTCCCGTTGATTCATTTCTTCTCTGATACTGGGTATAGTCAGATCTTCTAACTTCAGATAATTAAATAGGTGTGAAATTGTATATTATTTTGGTCATAACTTGTATTTCCTTGATTATTAGCTAGGTTGAGCACCTCATCATATCTGTATTGGCCATGCTTGTTTCTTCTTCTGTTGAGTGTCTGTGTTTTGGCTTTTGCCTGTTTTTCAATAATAGGGGTGTCTATTATTGGTTGGTAGAAATTAACTATGTATTCTGGATATTAATCTTTATTTGTTAAGTGACTTGTAAATATCTCCATTCCTTTGCCATTTATTTTTCCTACCCTCTGATGGTGTATTTGCTGAACACAATTTTTTATTTTAAGTAAAATACGAAAAATGTAAACTAAATACTAAAATTTTAATTTTAATATTAAAATAAGATTGAATTTTTGTTTATGATTAGCCTTTTTTCCCCTAAGATTCCAAAGAAATTTTCCCGTTTTCATTTCTCATTAGGATATAAGAAGAATGGCTCCTTCCTGAGTTACTCTTTCTTGGATCAATTACTCTGATGGAAACCAGCTACCATGTCACAAGTACACTCAGCTGGCCTAATGGGAGACCCACATGGGAAGGAACTGAGGCCTCCCATCAATAACCAACACCAACATACTGCAGGTGAGTGAGTTATTTTGGAATTGGATTCCCCAGCACTCATCAAGTCTTCAAACAACTGCAAGTTTATGAGAAATCCTGACCCACTCCCCAGATACCAGGTCCTCCTAGTCTGACCCTCAGAAACTGGGAGGGATAATGAATGTTCATAGTCATTTTAAACAACTGACTTAGAGAGTAATTTGCTATAATACAATACATAACAAATACAGCTTCCTTTCTAGTTTGGTAATGATCTTTGATTGTGAGCACATTTCTTGATCTCTTTGATGAAAATCCTGCAGGTCAAAAATTGAGAAGTCTTTCTATCAGTCTGGGTATGCTTTCTAACTATGGCTTCTGTCACTGATGGTAGAATTCTTCTACCATCATTCATGGTAGAATTCTTGAGCTGACCCAAGAAGATAAATTGAGGACCTTGGGCCAGCTCAAGAATTCAAGACTCAGATCCCCTACTTTAACATTTGCCCAAGACTTAGTAGCCCATAGACAGTAGCTTTGCTGCTGTCCTGGTCTACTGTTAAGTGACCGTGTTTCTCCTGACCCCTGATTGTTCTGATCCCAGTTCTTCACTGCAGTTCACATGGCAGGGGTTTGGGGAGAAGGTTTGAATATCTCCACTAATTTAAATGCAGACAACAATGCTTTAAAGACTGTCCTATGTAATAGATAGTAACAGGAGGTTTTCAGAGCACCTAGTCAGCCATAGTACTAAAAGCAGGTAGCCAAAAGGCCTTCTTATCTAGAGAAATGGAGCAGACAACTTCTTTCCAAACACATGGGCATTTGATAAATGTTATCCAGGGCTTATGGCACCATATGATGAAGTTGAAACCCTCTTTTAATCAACTATTAACCTATTGATAGACAAAACCAAACTGGTTTAGATGTCTCTTCAACATGAGGGTCCATAAATTAGACCTATACCTTCAGCCTTCTCAGATAACACATGCTAAATTATTTAGCTTGCTAAGTGCCAAAAATTCAAACTTCTAATCAGTTTCAGCTTTCCCAAGGCAGAATTTCTGGTAACTACTGATGTGGAAAGATGATGGGAGTGAGGATGGCCTCTGGCAATAACTCTCTTGGGTCTCTACATCTCAGTTATAAAATTATAAAATGTAGAGGGTGTCTCTGTCTACAGATTTAAAATGTTATAAAATTTATAAAATGTAGACATGGTTTGAGATGACTGTTAAAATATTTTCCAGCTCCCACAATTTCAAAAATATCTATAATGTCCATTAGCAGTTAAAAAAAAATTATACATCAAATAGACCTCTCCTAGCTATCAAGCTGCTGAGGTGGTCAAAAAAGAATGAGATTATTTCCAAATTGCCATTACCAAGTCTACATTTCACATTGACTTAACCCACAGCCTTGGAGACCCTCTCATTTTCTCTAAAAAGGCCTCAGATGTGGCAGCACTTCTCAAACACTTACTGCTGTGGTGTGAATAATGGTGTCCCCTGTAAGCCCCACATACTGAAACATAATACCCAATGCTATAGCATTAAGAGGTAGAACCTTTAGGAAAGTCATTAGGTTATAAGAGCTTTGCCTTCATGAATGGGATCAGTGACCTTATGAGAAACGTTGAAGGGGGGCCAGGCGCTGTGGCCCACACCTATAATCCTAGCACTTTGGGAGGCCGAGGCGGGTGGATCACGAGGTCAAGAGATCGAGACCATCCTGGTCAATATGGTGAAACCCCGTCTCTACTAAAAATAAAAAAAAATTAGCTGGGCATGGTGATGCATGCCTGTAGTCCCAGCTACTCAAGAGACTGAGGCAGGAGAATTGCTTGAACCCAGGAGGTAGAGGTTGTGGTAAGCCGAGATCGCGCCATTGCACTCCAGCCTGGGTAACGAGAGCGAAACTCCATCTCAAA